AGGAGGGTCAGAGGGAGAAGCAGACTCCCTGCCGAGCAGGGAGCCCGATGCGGGACTCGATCCCGGGACTCCAGGATCATGACCTGAGATGAAGGCAGTCGCTCAACCAACTGAGCCACCCAGGCGCCCCAGCCCAAAGTTTTCTTAATAGAGAATATTTTGTTCTGAACAGATCATTTAAAATGAACAACCTGGCAGTAGGGAAATGACAACCTGTCTCCCAAAGTGCAGAATCAGCAGTGATGTCGGGAAAGTCCATGAAGCAACCCAAGCCATAAATTTCCCTTGCTCCAAGTGGATTTTTAAAACCAACACACATTCTATTCCTCTTTTTTTTTTTCCAGCTCTATTTTGAGACACACATTTCAAAATCCCTAAGGTTATTCTACTATGTTATATGAATTCTGACAACTCCAAATAAGTCAAAACCATCCAATTAAAATATGCTCTGAAGCTAAAATTAGATGATTATAATAAAAAGCTGCAAACCCAGTATTTAGCAACTAGAGCCTGGTAGTTGCCGTTATAAGGCATCTTGAGATTCCTGATAAGAAAGAAGACATTGTCTACAGCCATCCCACCCTGAACGCACCCGATCTCATCTGATCTCAGAAGCTAAGCAGGGTCGGGCCTGGTTAGTACTTGGATGGGAGAAAGAAGACATTATTAATGTCTCTTTTTCCTATCCATGCATCCATTAGTCCTGGCATTCTTTGTGTTAGGTGCCAAGTCTCAATGTAAGAAGGAAGTTCATCTAATTAAAAATAAAGAAAGTCAAGGAAATAGCTCATTCCCTTCCTGTCCTTTCCCAACCCTCAGTCCCACTGAAAGTAGACCAAGGGTAAGATCTCCTACCACTTCTGCTCTCATCATCCTTCTAAGCAAATCTGATAGTAGCAACATTGGTTCATTCCCAGAAACAAAGGAAGTCAACACCAGAGCCTTCTTTCTCCTTTCTTATCAGCCTTCAGGAGTCTTCCTACATTGAAATAGAGCCCTCACACTACACTCAACATTACTAAACCATTCTAATACACATCCACAATCATAGATAAGAAATAAGAGTACTATATTCAGGCTAAAATAATTTCCCATCACTGTTGTGGTCACATGAGTTATCTTCAATATTAAATTGAAAACATTTCCCATCCTGGTTCTTCCAAATTATGGCAGTCATATATTTCCTTGTCCATTTAATTCCAGACCACAAAAATTGCACATTTGTGTGTCCAGAGACTTAAGGGATTAAGTATGGAAAGCTAATGTGTATATAATGCCACTTCTGACCATGATGAAGTAACAGACACTGGATTTACTTTTGCGCCTTAAACAATTGAAAATCAGGAAAAAAATGTATGAAGTTTTCAGACACTGGACAACAGGTAATGTAGGACTGTGATCCATGAGAGAAGGGAAGTAAATGAGGTGAGCCCTATAATTGCCCCAGTTTTCTGCCTGGAAGAAATTACTAGTACAGGAAGTGATAACCCAGAGTATAGTAGTCTCACTGAATTGGGAAGATAGAGATTGAAGTTTGAAGAAGCCAAGACAGCTAGACTTTCCCTCTGAGAGGAGAGAGCTAATACCCAGCAGAGAGCTCTGAAATCTTCACCTGGGTAATGATCTGTGCCTGTGTGAAGGAAAACTACCTGAGGCCACAGAAAGAAGCCCAGGAAAGCTGTACACCAAACAGTGCCTGCAGCTCACTCAAGGCTGGGAATATCCTACTGACCAGAGTGAAAAGAACTCAAACTACAAAAGACATTGGGTACTGACTTGAGAAGAGTATTGCCCTCTTGATAGTAGAGCTACTCTGGATCCATCCTAATAAAGCTTGAAAGCAAACCTTGAAACAATCCAACTAATTTCAAGTAATTTTACTACACATCAGAATAAAAGTCCAAGGGGCGCCTGGGTGGCTCAGTCGTTAAACATCTGTCTTCGGCTCAGGTCATGATCCCAGGGTCCTGGGATCGAGCCCCACATCGGGCTCCCTGCTCCGTGGGGAGCCTGCTTCTCCCTCTGACCCTCCTCCCTCTCATGCTCTCTGTCTCTCATTCTCTTTGTCTCAAATAAATAAATAAAATCTTTTAAAAAAAAAAAATTACAGAACTTAGAGATTGATGGTAGTTCATTATCTATGACTAGAAATAGGACAAGAACATAATCTGCATTTTTGTTATGCTTTAAACAAGAACCTTACAAAACCAGTAAAAATACCAACTGATGACTAAGTAATCTTTTAATGCTTTAAAGACTCAATTTTAAATTAGGATAATAGCTTACATAGTCACACCACAAAACTTAAAGTACACATTAACAGGATTTTAAATTCACAGGTGGAGAGGTTAAGGTCAAACTGCCATAAGAAATGGCAGTTTGGAATTAATAACAGAGGAATTCAGTTGCTGTTACTATGCTCAAGTGTCTGCTCAGGCTAGTGCCCTAAGTCCTTAACCCTACATGAAACAGGGTACCAGTGAAAAACTGTTGGTATCTTCAATTCACTTTAGGACTACAAAGGTTATACAAGTTTTACAGCCAGCTTCAAAAGAAATATGCCCACCTCCCATTTTCAACTATAGCTGCTGCCTCACAATATTTCCTATTTTTTTTTTATAAGAATATACAAAACAGGTACTTAAAATGACAGTGAGGAGAAAGGAGCACTTTAATGATCAGTTAGGGAGGTAAAGGAGGGAGAAAACTAATAAAAGAAAAATCAGATATATTAAGACTTACTGGGAATATTCTGGGCTTCCTTTCAACAATGGCATATGGTTTTGCCTGCAATAAAAGTAATGCTCTGTTAATTATGGTTTTAGAGTTTCTTCTAAAATAAAATAGATCATATCCCAAATTTTTAACTGAGCCCCAAACTTTCACCAAATTCCAGACTGAAACATTTAACTCAAGATCTTCACTTGGCTATCTCTACTAGTCATCTCAAATTTAACCAGGTCCAACTTATAACATCCCCCAGCCCCAAATAGTTCCTTACTGTAGCAAATGGCACTTTCATTCTCCTAGTTACAAAGGCCAAAAACCTGGATTCCTCAGCAGATCCTGTTGGTTCTATCTTGAGATTATATCATGAATCCAACCGTTTCTCACCACCTAGTACTACTACCCTTGTTCAAGCCTCTATCATTTTTTTTTTTTAACCTGTTAGTGTCCTGGCGTCCACACATGCCTTCTTAGTCTATTCTCCACACAGCAGAGGTGAGTGATTCTAAGATGGACCACTCCTCTGCTCAAAGTTTCATAACTCTTAGAGCAAAGGCCAAAGTCCTTGCTATGATCTCTAAGACCCTACACAATCTGGCCCTTGGCCACCTCTCTGATCTTCTCTCTTTCTCTGTATTGTAGCCACAGTGGTTCCTTTACTATTAGTCTAATCAGTTGGGCCAACTTGTGCCTCAGGGCCCTTATATGTAATAATAATTCCTCTACCTGAAATGCTCTTCTAGATATCTGCTTGATCCATATCATCATTTCATTTATGTTTCTCTTCAAACAGCACTTCCCCAGAGAGACCTAGTCTTTTGCCCTGTTTAGTTTTCCTTCCATAGATTATCACTTCCTGTAACATTATATGCCTCTTTATTTATTGCCAGTCTCCAAGACTAAAATAAACACTTCATGAGGGCAGAGACTCAATCTGCTTTGCTTACTGCTATATCCCTGTGTTTAGAACAGTGCCTTGCACACGAGGTGCTAAAAATATTTGTTAAATAAATGTATTTATTAAGCATATACATCTGCACAAGATACCACATGAACAAAATTTTATTAAAAGAGACTGGCATACTGTAAGACTCGAACTGGAGCCAAAAGCAGGAGATAAAGCCAGAATACAATGTAAATACATTAATATGTCTCTCAGTACTGGGACCAGCAGCAAGAAGACACTGAAATGTCCTTAGAAAGACTGTAAAATTCAATTGGTCAGTAAAGGTGTTAGCTGAAGCAAACTGGCTACAACATTAATGAGGATACAGACCTACCCCAACCAGAGAAAAAGTAAGGGAAGGTAAAGGCTTTGGAAACTCTATTGACACAAACCTTTAATTACATCCATCTGTGGCTTAGGAAAAATCACCTGGAAGTATGACTTCCTCGGATAAACAACTATATTAAAGTCTTGAATTGTCAAACCAGTAACTGCACCTTATTAAATCTGCTTCTCTTAGAAGGTGTCTTTTCAATCCTAGAAAAATTTAGTTAAATGCAGATATAACAGAGATTAAACCTAGAGAATAAATGTATGTCAAATTTAGTAAGTTCTTAAAACACTGGGATAATCCACATATTCTGTTATTTAGAGCATTTGTAATGTTTAAGGTAATCAATCTGGCTATTAGAGGTTCTAAAAGATTAGTTTTAGGATTCTAGTTACAATGCATAATTGATTTAGGCTTGTGATTATAAGTTTAAAAAGATTTTGCTTCTTAGGGTCATTAATTTGCTCTATAAATACTTAAAAATAAAATTAAACATATAAATATAAAATGTATAAATGCAGCTTAAAACATGAGAGAATATGATTGTTTGTAAGTGGAATTGTTTTAGGAGAGTTCAACTTGAATTAATCCAAAGACAATAAGAACAAAGGAGACTGTTTATATTTTACTAGATGTGTAAGTAGTTTAACAGAATTTTGAAAACTGCATATAAAGAATTAGGAAAAAAGGAGGTTTTTAAAATTGAAACGAACAAAATGAATTTAAATTTATATTCCAGGTAACTATGAACAGTTCTTCTGCATGTAAAAACCACTCTTGGATGTTAAAAAAAACTTGCACTGACAGTAGTAATATATTTTTCTCCTCTAGAGTCTTGCATGTTAAGACAGTAAAAAAATAACAGACATATGATGATATGAAATGGCCTGTGGACTTGCAGGTGAACATAAATATAAAATTTTGTTTAAGTCTATCAACAAGAGAAACAAACTATACTCTGACCCTTAGACATATAAATTGTTAGCCCCTTTTAATGGTTGCGGAAAGATTTTCTGTTTGTTTATGAAGTGAAAACACTACACTTCAATTCTAATGCCTACTAGCCTCCACTAATTTCATATTTCTAACACATAAGACAAGCCATGTCCACTTGGACATCCCCAAAACATGTTGACAGCACACGCTCCTACACAAATTGACTTTTCCAAAACCCTACTTACAACTTCCAAGGCTAGAAATTTTAGAGTCATAAATACCTCTGAATTTTGCTTTCATCCCCAACTTGAGCTGTCTTCCTTAAATAATGTCTTCTGTCTTCACTTTTCTTTTCCATTCCTGCTATCTTCACCCTAACCAGATTCTCATCAGCTAACATCTACTAAACTGCAACAGCCTCTAGCTGATCTACCTACCTGATGTCAGTACTTTCCTCCCTCCAATTACCCAATCATATGAACGTTTATGTTTTCCTAAATATAGCACTTTTATCAACTCACTCACCTGCTGAAAAATGGAAAGCTTTCCATTGCCTACCAGATAAGGTTCAACCTCCTCTGCCTAGTTTTCAAGACCTTCCATTAAATGGTCCCAGCCCACTGGGCCAAAAGACCTGCAATTCTAGTCACCTCCTCAGTCTTGGGTAGGTATGATATGCACATTACTGACTCCTTACCTTTCCTCCTAGCTGGAATAACTTTTCTCCTCCATACTCTTACCCAAATCATACCCATCTTCCAACTTTACTACAAACTCCAGGAATTTTATCTTGTGTATTCTTTCCAGAGCAATAAAGGAAGATGACATACTAGGCACTCCATAATTTATTGATGAACAAACATAATCTCCTTAGTGAAGAACAAAAATGGTGTCAGCAGCCAGAATTTTAAAAAGACCATGCAATAAAGAGAGAACAAGTTATGTTAAAGGGAATTTTCTGAAAACACCAATTATTTATTTCACACTCCTTTCAACAAGCTAACAGAAAGCAAACCTCAATTGGATTAACTACAATTTGTTTAGGGAGTCCCTAACTTCTGTTTTATCTTGAAATAATTTTAAACCTACAAAAAGTTGCAAGAATTATAAAAATAATTTTTTTACTGAATCACTTTAGGAAACTGCAGACTGGTTTATTACTTTAGTATTTCCTACAAATAAGAACAATATTCTTAAAATAATCACAATACAGCCATCAAGATCAGGATATTGATCTGTTTCATTACTGATACATTACTACCTTCTAGCTAGTCTAAAGAACCCATTTAAATGTTACCAAGTGTCTCGGTAATTGTCTGGAATTCTCAGAAAATCCCCTCTTACATGACTTGTTCCTCATTGTGTAGGCTCTAAAATTCTGAATGCCAATGCCATCTTTATTCTTTTAACTAAACAGATAATGCCATTAATCAAGAATTGCATTTAGCTGACATGCCTCTTTAAGTTCTCTTCAATCTAGAACAAATTTTCAGTCATTCCTTAACTTTCATGATCTTGACGCTTTTGAAGGTAACAAGCCATTTACTATGCAGAAAAGTCCCTTGTTTGGTTTGTCTTATGCTTCCTTATGATTAGATTCAGGTTATGCATTTTGGAAGGGAATAACACAAAATTGATGCTGTTTTCTTACTGCACCTATCAAGTAGTACACAATTTCAGTTTGTCCCATTATTGGTATGTATTTAAGTATGTATTAAGTATTTAAGTATGTATTAAGTATGTATTTTATGTTAATTTAGATTTCTTGATGGTGTCTACCAGGTTTCTCCACTACAATTACTGCTTTTCCCTTTGTATCAAATAAGTATGCTGAAGTTCGGTATTTTGAGATTAATTTTAGCAACTTTTGATATTCCTTGACTAAAAAAAATGTTACTCTGATGATTCTCAAGTGGTGGCTTTTCTAATTGTATCAGTCCTTGTCTATTATTTAGCAATCCACTGTACAAAAAAGCGCTGTCTCTTCTAACCATTTATTAATTGTTTATATCCATATGGACTTGTGCATTTGCATTTTATTCAGTTGGCTATAATCTATAACTATCATTAGTTATTTTGATGCTCAAATTGTCCCAAAGGGAGTCCTCTCAAGCTGACTGTGTCCTTTTGGTAGATCTACAACATTCTTTGAACACTTCTTTACTTTCTGGCTCAATAAGCTCATCATGTACTTTCCCAGCTCCAGCCCTAGAATTGGCCATTTCTCCAGAGAGCTTTGGATCCTTTCAGTGGAGAATTGGGTAAGACTAGGCTGCTAGATATGCTAATTACCATGCAGTGGCACTGCTCCCAGGTCTGTCGGTGGACAGACCTAGACTATCCACATTTACAGCTATATAGAATTCTGTATCAATACATATTAAAAACCATGAGTTCATACCAATAATTCCAATTCCATTCCAGTACAAGTTTTTCTGTCTTTCCATGTGTGCAACTCCCTTTTCTGACAATGAGAATTCTGGGTTCTGCTATCATCGATACGTGTACTTACTTGATCAATCTTCCTATATGTAACCAATCTCCTGTCACTACCATAACACGCCAGTATAAATAACCTCACCTCATTCAGGTCCTGATATCTTACTATAGATTGCCACCTCCATCATTGCCCCATCATTGCCCCAAACCACCCTTCTTGCAGATGTCCTCCTCCCCTTGCTCAGGTTCCAATATTCTACCCCAGGTTACTACCACTGCTGCTCTCCAAACAGGTATACTCACCAACTCCCCTCCACTCCAACTTCCCCCTCTCCCTGAGACCTAATATCCTCCCTGGGTACCAGAATGCCCTCTTCAATCTGTTTGGGTTACGATACTCCATGCTGGGCAGCCGCCACTGCTCTCCCTTCTATACCATTCCCTCAAATGCACTCCTTCCTCATATTGCCTTCGATCCAACACCAGACTATCCCTTGGCTTTAAAATATGGCAACTGCCTCAGTTCAATCACCACACACAAGATCTTTCCAAGACAAAGTTCAAGCTTTTGGACATCCTGGATTCTAAAGAAAGAAAATGGTGAAAAATCAAGACAGAGTGAAGGAAAGGGAAATGGGATGATGATAAAGACAACCTTTGTCTAATTTGAATTTATCTTGTATCTCTGCTCAAAGAAAGGAGCAGAAATTCTTTGCTCCCTTCCTATTTAGAACCCCAAGTTTACACTAGTATTATTAGGTCAACTTCATTCTGATCATTTAAACATTGTTTTTAGGAGAAAATGTATTTCAAGTTGTAATCAACTAATATAAAGATTAATTTTTTTGAAAAACTGCACTTTACTTAAGTTTCATTAAACCTTTTACTTAACTACTTTATTCAAAGTAGTTCAAAATCAGTTATAAGTGGCAGATTATTTCCACCAAATAAAGCAGGGTAAGGCATGCCCACAAAATTAGGAAATAATTTTGTACGACATTAAAAATAAATTCTGCAAAATACATACTTAAAACATACTTACATTCACGTGATATTTGATATAATAATGAATAATCCAGGCAGGTATAAGTACATGAGTAAAAGCAAAGATACTGTGTCGGTATGCCTTATAAATCTGGGGGGGAAAGAAACATAAACAGATATACCTTTTTTTATGTTTGTGGCAGAAAAAAAGCATCAATGATATAATAATGTCGTGATTATTTTAAAATGTCTACCTGCTACATACTTCCTTACAGTCTGTAACTAATCTCACCCATTCAAATATTTTTATTAAACATAGGACCAGTGGCGCCTGGGTGGCTCAGTCGTTAAGCATCTCCCTTTGGCTTAGGTCATGATCCCAGGGTCCTGGGGGATCGAGCCCCGCATCGGGCTCCCTGCTCAGCGGGAGGCCTGCTTCTCCCTCTCTACTCCCCCTGCTTGTGTTTCCTCTCTCGCTGTGTCTCTCTCTGTCAAATAAATAAATAAAATCTTAAAAAAAAATAAACAAAGGACCTGCTAGGGGATACCTACAGAGTTCAGAGCAAACAAGGTTTAAGACAAGTAACATTTTGCAAAGCTACAGTAAGGTATTCATAGATATATATAAATATTTTAAAGACTTCTAAAAATATCCTTATTATAAGTTTACTAAAGACAAACATGGCATAAGTAATGAAAGAATAATTTTAATCAATTTAATTAGCGTAATCAAACCTACAGAATTTTTCAGGAACAGTCAACCCCCTAATTTATCAATTTCAATACCCACAATCAACATCTAGGTATAAGGCAGACAACCTTGAGCACACCAAAGCTCGAAAAAGAATGTTTTACATACTGGGATAGGGGTGTTCCAAGCTTACTTTGAGATGCTTTCAGCACACTATTTTAAAAGAGAAAGGCAAAACAGAACTGAAAATGGAACTTTTCCGTGGCAGCAAATTTGACTGAAACACATCTATCTAGGATAACTAGATTCTAGGTGTTATAGTATATATGATTATGGAAGAAAAATTAACTCAAAGTAACGAAAAACAGACTAAAATACTTATTTACTTCCTTACATCACTGGCTGATGGGTGGGATGTCAACTTTCAACCAGAAGCTGCCAAAATCAACAAGTAATGTCAGGGATACAAAAGGTAAGACGAGGGTTGAACTAGAGTTTAATTTTACCACTCTAAATAAGTATCTAATACCACTTTCCCAGAAAAATTTGCACAAGACTTGGTAGCACAGTCAGAAAGTAGATACACTTGGATCTCAGTGTGAACTCCAATTCCTAGCTCTGTGACCACGGATAAATCACTCAATTTTTGTAGGTCTCATTTTCCACACATTTAAAATAAGGATTAGGAGTAGTTTCTACCTTACAGAAGTAAAGAATTAAATAAAGTAACACATGTCAAACCCTCAGCAAAATGCCGGGCAGAAAATAAGTACTCAAGTGTTGCTTAATAGTATTACCATTATTATTAGCCAATGTCACAGCTTATTGAAAACAATTCTGAGATATAGTGTTCATCACTTAAATTGATGTAATTTAATGACCTCAAGAAAATGTCCAGAGACCCTGAAAATAAAGGGTAATCTTAATAATATTCAATAAATGAGTGATTTTCTGTAGTGTAAAGTCTAGAAATGCACTTTTAAACTAAACTGTGTTAAAAGAACATAGTGGTAGTTCAGAAAGGTGGCTCTTGAATATAACTCATTAAGGAAAGGAATAAGACCCTATCTTTTTCATGGTGATCACATGCGGCTGCACAACCAATTAGAGATTCCGCGTGTCTTCTGGTAGTTGGGTGTAGTGTTATTCTCTATAACCTCAACCTTAAAAAGCAGACAGGTGTCCTTAAATACTAAAATCACAGATTTTTCACTCAAATGAATCCTTCTATCATTCTGTAAAACCTAAGCAAAGATTCACCTCCTTCTCATCACACTTCACAGCAAAAAGGTAGACTCTCCCAAAGCCATACTTGTTCCTTAACTCCAGAGCTCTCTTGGGACAAGATAGCGTCCCTTCTAAATCTAAGTCTCGGTTGAACCCGGTTCTCCCTCAGGGAACTACCGGGACTTGCGGGCCCAGTGATGTCAGTCCTTGGTGTGACTACAATGAGCAGGCATCCAGTACCCCGGCCGGGGGTGCGACGGCGTGCGTGCATCAGGGCGAGGGAGGCCCGTCACTCACCACGTTCTTCCAGGGGGTCTGGTCCCGCAAAAACTTATTCCAGAATCTCTCCATAGGCCACACCCGCTGCGGGGGCAGCACCGGCTCCCGGGAGCTCAGCTCCTGGTCTTTTAGCCATCGCCTTCTCAGCTGTTGGAGCTGCTGCAGCCGCAGTTTCTCGTCTGGCGTGTACCCCGACATGTTGCCGCTGGTACCGAGACCGGACACGGCGCGTCCCCGATCAGGGTCTTGTCACTTACGCGCGGCCCCGCTTCCGAGGCGACCTTGCGAGGACGCCCGGAAGCGGCGCGCCGTTACGACGTCATTCAGGTCCTGCCTCCGCACCGGCTGCAATCGCTGCGTAGCGGCTGGGCTTGCGCAGTCTTCATCCGCCCAGCTTAGCCGGGAGTGGGTGGGGGCGCGTTTTAGTTGTGGGAGAAGGGGGGAGAGTGACGGAAAGAAGAAGACCGGAGAGGGCAGAGGGTAGAGTGGTGTGCTGGGACCTGGAAGGATGAGAATATGTGATCCAATGAATGTGATGTCCAAATGCAAATTCTTCACCTCCCTCTCCCGCCTGGGTACTCCTCTTCCCATGACCTAGGGAGTGTGGAGAACGTTACTTCTAAGTTTAAATCCCAGCTGTGTCAGTGACTGATAAAGTGACCTTGGGCAGTCTCAGTCAGTTCCTTCATCTGTACTGCGGAGGCTAAAAGAGTGGCTTAATAGCTAACAGAATTGGACACATTCATGCTTTGACCCAGCAATCCCACGTCGAGGATTATATCCAAAAGATGTAGTGCTAAAAATACGAAAAGAATGTGCATGAATATTCACTGCTGTACAATAAAATACTGGAAATTAGCCCCAAATTCCTCAATAGTGGACCGGTTGAATAAATTATGGTACAATAACGCAATGAAGTGCTCTATATTACAACCGTGGAATGATCTCTAGAATATATTGTTAAGTGAAAAAAAACTAAGTGAAGAGAAGTGCATATAGTATGCTACCTTTTACCCAAAAAGAGAAGAGTGGTAGTAATACTAAATATATATATATGTTTGCTTAAATTTTAAAAATAAAAGGAAGCAAACTATTGCTTTGTTTTAAAATGTTACCAACTGGGGGAAAAAGGGAGTAAGATAGAGGAAACAGGGATAGAAGCTAGGCATCTCTGAATATATCCTATGTAACAGATTTTACTCTAGAACCACGTAAACATTTTATATTATTATAAAACAAAATTAAATTTACAAAATCTCTTCTAAAAATCAAAAGTAAAAACACATGAATCTAACTGATCTGCTAAGTGGCATAACCCCCCAAACACACACCATTTCAAGTAAATTTAATCCATCAAATTATTGTTCAACTATATAGAAAGAGATACCTCGAAGACAAAGGAACTGCCAAAAAAATATTTTTTTAACTGTTTTAGGTAATTATATTGTTGGAAATGGTGGTAATATTAATCTGACACTGAAAATAAACATTTATGTTGGAATTTTTGTAATGGGAGAAAGATACAAATGTAAATTGTATGAGTTTAAGTAAAAACTCTGAAGTCCTGAATTTGAATCAAAAGACTCAGTAAAAATTCATGATGTATTTTATCTTTAAATATATTTATCATTTTATCTTAGCTCTGCTCATTGAAATGGCCTAAAAATAATGGCCAATCCAGTAACCATGAACATCTCTAGCTCCTAGATTGTGATTTCTAAATACCATTTTCCATTAGAAGGAGCCAGGACTCCTGGGAACAGCAGTTCTCAAACATTTTGCTTCTCAAATTTCTTCAAACTCTTAAAAACTGGGGTTCCTGGGTGGCTCAGTCGTTAAGCCTCTGCCTTCGGTTCAGGTCATGATCCCAGGGTCCTGGGATCGAGCCCCACATTGAGCCCCACATCGAGCCCTACATCAGGCTCCCTGCTCCGTGGGAAGCCTGCTTCTCCCTCTCTCGCTCCCCCTGCTTGTGTTCCCTCTCTCGCTGTGTCTCTCTCTGTCAATAAATAAAATCTTTTAAAAATAAAATAAAAAAATAATAAACTCTTAAAAACTGTTGAGGACCCCAAGGAGCTTTTGTGTGTATGGGTTATACCTATTGATGTTTACTGCATTATAAATTAAAACAGATTTTAAAATAACAAAATATCCATTAACAAAAATTATTTAGTGAGAAGAGTGCCATTGTTTTACATTTTTGTAAATCTCTTTAACATCTGGCCTAATAAATGACAGCATATTTTTTAAAACCTCTTCTACATTTAGTCATAATATCCTACACCAGGTAGCCCTTGGGAAACTCTATATTCATTTGGGAGAGACTGAAAATTAAAAAGGGAAAATAGCATCTTAGTATGAAAATCATTTTGGCCTCACAGACCCCATGAAAGCATCACAGGGATCCCCCGATCACACTTTGAGAACCATTGCCTTAGAGAAATAGCTAATCCCAGGTCTGAGTGAAGAAATATAAAAGAAACCAGGAACATCTTGTCTTAGCAGGAAGCAGGGAAATTTCTAAAGACAGGCTCATGTCAAAAGGATTCAGGAGCCAACTTAAATAGACTTCCTCTGGTCAAAGATAAAAGAATTTGAGCATCAATAAATGTAATGACTTCAGTGGAATGAAAAATATCAAATAGATTCACAAATAGATTCAAAATATCAAATAGGGGCACCTGGGTGGTTCAGTCGGTTGAGAGTCTGCCTTCGGCTCCAGAATCCTGGGATTGAACCCGCATATGGCTCCCTGCTTGGTGGGGAGTCTGCTTTTCCCTCTCCCTCTGCCCCTCCCCACCGTTCATGCTCTCTCCCACTCTCTCTCAAATAAATAAATAAAATCTTAAAAAAAAACAGATTCACATACATGAGTTCATAATGATTAAAAAAACCTCATTGGTCATTTTTGGATGGTATTAGGGAACCAACTCATTATTTTGAAAACTGTTAAGTGAAGGGGAAAAATCAAGCATTTTTCTGGCATCTGTATATAAATTGCATCTTGGAGTAACAAGATAGTTGGTGAAGGAAAATTTAATCAAAGAAGCATAAAAACAGAGTAAAAGAAGAAGGGATGGCTGAAGTAGAATATCACTATTCTGCAGCCATTAGTTTGTTAATGAATCAATACAGTGATCATCAAAAGCTGCTGACGTCTCAGTGGGTAGAGCATGGGATTCTCAATCTCAGGGTCGTGAGTTCAAATTCCACATTTGGACATGGAGCCTACTTACAAAAAAAAGAAGAAAAAAGCTGCTGGTGTCCCAAAGAGAACATGTGCGCCTCCTGGTGGAAGACAGCCTCACTGCCTGTAAAGTGTCCTTGCCAAACAAAAAATCGAACTGAATCTGATCAAGTTTCTAGATCTAACTACTCATTTAAAGGAAATACAGGGACAGACTCCTCTAACTCCTATACAATACCAAAATGATACATTCAGAAAAATCCGTATCATCGAAACTTTGGACAAGTGACTCTGTTTCTTGAACAAATATATACTGAAGGGAAAGACAAAATGAGAGAGGGAGAGAAAGAGAACCCATAGATAAAGAGATGATAACTCAACAGTAAGAAAATGAACAAGAAGTGTAACAAATGGGTTAACAGACACCTCACTAAAGAAGATAAACAGGGGCGCCTGGGTGGTTCAGTCGGTTAAGCATCTATCTGCCTTTGACTCAGGTCATGATCTCAGGGTCTTGGGATGGAGCCACGGGTCAGGGTCCCCACTCAGCAGGGTGTCTCCTTGCCTCTCTGCCTCTCCCCCTGCTTGTGCTCCCTCTCAAATAAATAAATAAAATCTTCAAACAAAGAAGTTATACAGGTGGCAAGTAAGCATATGAAAACATGCTCCAGATCATATGTCATCAGGGAAATGCAAATTAGAACAATGAGATACCATTATACAACTTAGAAGGGCCAAAATCTGGGATCCTGACAACACCAAATTCTGATGAGAATGTGGAGCAATAGAAACTCTCATACATTGTTGATGGGAATGCAAAATACTACAGTCACTTTGGAAGACTGTTTGGCAGTTTCTTACAAAACTAAACATACTCTTCCTATATGATCCAGCAATCACACTTCTTGGTATTTAAGGAAAGGCGTTGAAAACTTATGTCCACACAAAACCCATATACGGATGTTTATAGCAGCTTTATTCATAACTGCCCAAATTTGGAAGCAACCAAGATGTCCTTCTGTAGGTGAATGGATAAACTGTGGTATCTCCAGACAATAGAATATTATTCAGCATTAAAAAGAAATGAGATACCAATCAATGAAAAGACATGAAAGAGCCCTAAATGCATATTATTAGGAAATAAGCCAATCTGAGAAGGTTGCATACTGTGTGACTCACACAGTATGACATTCTGGAAAAGCCAAAACTATGGAGGCAATGAAAAGATCAGTGGTTGTCGGGCCAGGGGGCAGGCGCTGGTGTATGAATAGGCAGAACACAGAGGATTTTTAGGGCAGCGAAAATATTCTGTGTGGTATTTTAATGATGGATATATGTTATTATACATTTGCCCAAACCCATTGAATGTACAACACCAAGACTGAACCCTAAAGTAAACTATGGACTTCGGGTGATTATGGTGTGTCAATGTAGGTTCATCCTTGGTAAAAAAAATATATATATAATAATAATAAAAATAAAATAAAGTACTATTCTGGTGAGGGATGTTGATAATGGAGGAGGCTATGCATATGTGAGAGAGAGCAGGGGGTATGTGGAAAATCTCTGTACCTTTTTCTCAGTACTATTGTAAACCTAAAACTTAAGCAATCAGGTCTTTTTAAAATGAGAGACAATGAGGGAAATTTGAACACTACCTTGATCTCTTATGATATTAAGGAATAATTGTTATTTTTTACATGATGATATTGTGGTAATATTTTTAAAGAGGAGTTCTTATCTCTTAGAAATACCCTCTGAAATATTTATGGGTGGGAGGGTATAATGCCTGGAATTTACTTCTAAATAATTGGAGAGGGAGGAAAGAGGTTTGAAGGAAATAAGATTAGTAATGAGTTGGTAATTGTTGATGCTGTCTAATAGGTAAATGCGGGGGATTATACTCCTCTCACATACTATTTTGTATATGTTTGAAGTTCTTCCAAATAAAAAATTTTTGAAGATGTATGCCTTGAAGTGGTAAGAAAATTATGCATTTAAGCTATTATCAATCCTCAATCTATCTTATAATAGCTATATTTTAGACAAAAATTCATCATCCTTCTTAGGCTAGATCTCTCAACTCTGTTCTGATGAGATGCAAACAACTGATAGTCAAGTGACAGTATCCATGAGTGCTTACTCATTCC